CTAGCTACAACCCAACAGATATTTACACAGATTGTGCCTTTTAAAATATGAGCATAATTCATGATTTAAAATAGTTTGAATATACAGATAATTTTGACTCAGGACTCACCTTCCCTTTAACACCCTTGTTTCAAAGGCTATAGCAAAGAACACTGTCACACTTGAGGAATTCAGATAAAAAAACCCCCAATTTCATAGAATCATAGAATTGTAGAGCTGGGACCCTGAGGGTCATCCACTCCAACGCCCTACAATGCAAGAAGCTCAATAAAGCATCATTAGCAGTTTCTGACTAGCATTGTTTAACAATAGCAAAACAATAACAACAACAACAAAACACAAAAACCCCAACTTTTTCCACCCAAACATGGAGGCTGAAATGAAGCCCTTCAGTAGATTTGTTTATAAAGACAGTGACCTCAGCTCAGTATGGATGATGAAAACAAATTCCTAGGTTCAGAATATGCTTAGAGACATCACTGTTTTTCAACTATAAAAGGACCTGAATTTTGCAGGTAGATCTTCAGAGTCTACTAGAAACTCAGGTAAATTCAACAACCCTAAACAATCAGCCGACCGCTGTTGCAGAGTCACACACATTGCTTGTAGCGACAATCAACAATGCTTTGTGCTGTAAGCCTAAGAAGGCTGTCAACTGAGGAAAGGATATTTTAGCAGATTACTCTGCTTTTTAACAAACTACATTGATTTAAATTTAAACACACTTGCCTCATAGGTGGCTTTTTCACATACCAAAGCAAGCACATGATGACGACAAACTAATCCACTCATTCTTAGCAGAAAAGCCATTGTGTATATTTCCTTTTTCATTCAGCATTACAGTAACACACAGTTAATCCTGTAACACACCAGTATATAAAAAAAAAAAGGCATATTGGTTTTCAAAATACACAAACATAACCACAGAAAAATAAATCCTCAGTCCTTTGATTAGTCAACCAAAGCTCTGGTTGATTAATCTACCAATTAAACTGATTGAAGACCTCAGTTCTCGCTCTCTTGGAAAGGGCTTACCATCTGATTATTAACATATAATTTACAGGCCCTCTCTCCCACAAAAGAAACAAGACAATATAAATGCCACATTCATTTTAATAATACACATTGTACTCTGTGCCCAACATCTGCAGAAAGGTAAAACAGACTCCCACCACACACACACACACACACACACATTTTCTTGACGTGTCCCTCTCTCTCTCTCTCCCATCCACGCCTGGGCTTATTGTTTCTTAAGTGACGGAAGGTTTAATCAAGAAAGCAGGCAATTCATCAATTGCAACGAGGCCGCCTGCGTGGGGCTGACAGCCCCCACATGGCTTTATACAGTGGAAAAACCCGGCCACCTGTCAGCCTCCAACCTTTTACGTTGGGATATACAAACGCACTCTGCGATCAATCCACCAGGCCTTCCCATCCGTCCCCTCCCTCTGCCTGATTATATTCCTCCTTTATGTTCAGCGCCGTCCGTCCCTCGTTATTGGCGGGGACAGACGGGGAGAGAGACAAGACAAGCTATGGCTGTTTATGCGCCATCGTAAAAATTTATGCACCCTTAAAGTGACTTATTCCCCCTTCTGTTTGACTCCCATTATTATAAATAATCCCCCCCCTTCTACTTCTACTTCATTCAGGATTCTGCTTCACTTCCATGCTTTATTATCTGTTGCCCCTGTGTAAATACACATCCCTCCTTGGCCTCTGTCATTTCGCTGCTCTCTCGCTCTCTGCTTGCCCTCCTGGTTTAGAGAAGCTCAAACGATGCTACCTGAGATGTGTGGTCCAAGCAACCACTTTTAATTACGCCTCGTGGGCCATATCGTATGTAGGCGGAAACAGTATCTATAACCTAATTAAGCCAGTTTCTGACTTCTCAATCCAGTTATCGCCATTGTCTGTCACACTTCACTGTGACCAAGAAACGGAAGTACAGGTGAGGCCATGCATATATAGAGAGAAAGCGGGCTTAAAACAAAACACAGCTGGGCTTCCCACTGGGTCTTTTAATAGCACGCATGGCCTTCAGGAACCAGCAAGCAACGCTTATAAAGGCATGGAGCAGATGACACAGGAGTGATAGATCTGCTGACAGCTACTAGCCATGACAGCCTGTGTTCACTTTCAAGTACTCCAGGGGAGGAGAACCTCTGGCCTGGTGGGGTCTAGTGTAGCCTCCCTGCCTAACACCTGGAACTCTCTCCAGGCCACACCCCCTCTCTGCAAGGACACACCCCTCACTGGCCTTCTTTGACATCCTCCTTGAGTGTCCTTTGCCTGGCTGGAATGTGTCCCTGGATTCTGACGCTTCTTGCTTGCCTGCGTGGAGAATAGAGTGGCGTGTACAAACCAGCCTACTGTACAATGGGGGAAGTTTCACATCCTTTGTTCCTCTTGGTTTTGCCTCTAGCTCCGCCCACCACTGGCAGGTGGCCTTTGGAAGAGAGACCAGAAGGGGAGGCATCCCTCAGCCTGAAAAATGCTCCCCACCCCTGAAGAATCAGATGCCAGGAGAAAGCAGCAGGATAGCATCACTGTTATGCAGTGCTCAAATTACCAGTGGGGGAGGAGAGGGATGTCCTGGACTCCTTTTGTTTTGTGGTGGCCCTGCTCACAACTGTTTTCAGAAGGCTAGACGGAGGGGGACGTGGTGTGGCTAAAATTAGTGAGGGGCAGAAATGGGGTTGGGTGTTCTAATAACCTTCCCACCCCAGCTTTCACTTCCCCCATAATTTAAGAACTGCCTTCATGCTTGGTTGTGGGCTTTCCAGAGGCTTCTGGGGAAAGGCTGCAGCTCAGTAAGAGCATCTGCTCTGGATGCAAAAGGTGCTGGGTTCAAACTCCAGCATCTCCAAGGAGGGCTGGGAACATCCCCTGCCTGAAACCCCTGCTGGAAGTCAGTGTAGACCATGGGTAGGCAAACTAAGGTCTGGGGGCTGGATCTGGCCCAATCGCCTTCTAAATCTGGCCTGCAGATGGTCCAGGAATCTGTGTGTTTTTACACGAGTAGAATGTGTCCTTTTATTTAAAATGCATCTCTGGGTTATTTGTGGGGCCTGCCTGGTGTTTTTACATGAGTAGAATGTGTGCTTTTATTTAAAATGCATCTCTGAGTCATTTCTGGGGCATAGAAATTTGTTTATTCCCCCTTCCCCAAATACAGTCTGGCCCCCAACAAGATCTGAGGGACAGTGGACCGGCCCCTGCTGAAATGGTTTGCTGACCCCTGGTGTAGACGACACTGAGCAATGTGGACCAATGATCTGATTCAGTATAAGGCAGCTTCCTATGTCCCTATGACTGTCCATTGTTGGAGAAGGAATGCAGGGCCAGGTGGATCTATAGTCAGATCCAGCCAAGCATTTGCGATTTCCTTCATGGAAATGCCGGGTTCCCTCCCAAGCCATCCCAAGGCAGAAAAGCCCATCCAAAACTGAGCAGAGCTGTGGTTTCCACAGAGGTGGGGAAGGGAAATCTCTTCGACTTCCTCCCAAACCTTCTTCCCCGATCCGGGATCATTGCCAGGGCAGCATTCCCGCTCTCCTCATTTCCAAACCAATTAAGACCACACCAGAGTAACAAGGGAGGAAATGGGGGGGGGGGGATGAACACCTACATGAATTATGTGATCGTTATATTCCATCTCTGGAATAAACCTACAGCGGCAGCTTGAGTAAAAACAAAAACAAAACCCTACCAGGATTACCATTTGATCAGCCCCTTCATTAAGGTACATGAGTTAATGCCATGTTCTTCTGTTATAAGTGCCAGTCACCATTAACACATGAAAAAGCCAAGGAAGTAAAACCAGCTGACAGCACCTCCCCCCCCCCCACTTTTTTTTTTGCATTTCTTGCAGTGCAATAGTACTCCCCTGCCAGAATTTCACAGCTTACTTTCTTTCCCTTTGTAAAAGATAAATCCCAGTTTCCCCTTGGCAGGGCCCAACAAATTCAATGGGTCACTTTGCTGGATTGCAACTCCATCACATCTAGAAACTCTTGATTCTACCCATGGCCAGCCAGATGACCCTGGGAAGCTCATGAAGAAGGTGTAGAAACTAGTTTGTCCAAGCATCTCTTATTCAGACATATACTGTTCTTTTACATTGGGTTTGCATTTACTGTATTTAATGTGGTGAATGTTGGAAGATGTAGGTCAGATAAAATGGTGTCCCTCTTCATTCAGCGCATATTGAAGCTATGGAATTTGCTTCCACAACAGGCAGGGATACGGAGAGTGCTTTAAACAGAGGTTCCAACATGCATCATTGGGACAAGTTAAGAATCATCCCAGCTGGACAAAAGCACTCAAGGACAAGGGTTGAGAAGGGCCAATGAGGTGTGTTGCCTGGGAGGAGTCCAGAGAGCCAGAGAATCCTGGAGGGCTGGATTTGGCCCCTGGGCCTAAGGCTCCCCAGCCCTGGCATAGTCATAGCCATAGTAGAAAGTCTAAAAACAGTGCCTAGTCATGATAGCTATATGAAATCTATGGCCTTGCAGCTGGTACAGCTCTAAACACCACTTGCTGGGGCCCATCAGTGGGAAGGACTAGTGGGCAGCTCTGACAACAGCATAGAGAGATGAGGCTGGAATGGGACTTTCCCATGGACTGTAGCACCCAACTGAACCAACAGCTGCTACAGGCAACTGGGGCTTCTGATCACAGGGTGGTTCCTTTTAAGAACCATGTATGAGCCCTGCATCCAGCACCCAATCAGACCAACTGCTTCTGCGGACAACTTGAAGCTTCTGCTAGCGACATGGAGGATCCTTTTAAGACTTGTGAGAACAACAACTGAGCATGACACCCCATCATCTTCTGCAGAATTGCAACAGATTCTGAGCTTCGTCATGCTCCTATAAAGGTAGAGTGACTCTACCAGGGGACTGTTTGAGTTGCCTGGGCAGTCAAAGATGGCTCTGAGTTATCTAGCATTTTTTTTAAAAAAAACAACCCGAGTAACTAACACTTTGGCTTACCTGATATGGCATATAAATTGGAGTGCTGGTACTCAAAGTCTGGTCGAGTGCCATGCCCTTTCCCTCGAAAACTGGCCGGAAGTGTCAGAGATATATGCCTAGCAAGGAAAAACAGAACAAGTTGTTACAAGATCAAGGTTGCCAGCAATAGGAGTCCTAGAACCAAGCATGACCTAAGTCTTGAGATTGGCTTTCAAAGGTCTTGTTGCTCTTAGGAGGTCAACAGGTGGGTGGTAGGGCAAACAGGTTTCTTGGTGGTGACACCAAAACTTTTGAATACTTTGCTGATTTCCTTCGGGGCCAGGGTCAAGAAACAGTCGACTCTCAACTTACATAGGGGCTACATTCCAGGGACAGGATGCAAGTCAAACTGCATATGGTCAAAACACACTTTCCCTTCACTTCCAAGTGTTCTCCCAAGGGGACACAGAGTCTCCCAAGCCTGCTGAACACTCTTCCCTGCAACTCCAAATGTTCTCCCATGGTGAGTGTAATGGCGGGTTGGAATGCTGACTTTCCTCCCCCTTTTTTCAGACAAGCACATAAAGCTGAATTCGCCCAAGTTAAATGCACATGAGCTGCGAGTGGACTGCATTCAGAAAGCCCTAAACATTTCTGGTCCGATTCCTTATGTTCTGTCTCAATCAACGGGATGGTTTTGGTGGTTCCACATGCTCCCGAGGTTCCGCAGGCCTTCACTAGGAACTGAGCCTTAAGTGGGGCAGGCCGGTTCCTTGCGGAACTCCTTGCCAGTAGAAATTAGGAAGGAATTGTCCCGGTCTTCTTTTAGATGTCTACTGAAAACTTCGATAGGTGTTTGCAGTATTTTTTTTTGTTTTCTTTTTTATCCAACCAATGATTCTGTGTTGATGTTTCACTGAAAACCCTATTCCTTTCACAGAGCTACAATTCCCAGAGTGGTTTAATAGTCAACCCTCTTTCCAGGGGACTCCAGGGAATTGTAGCTCTGGGAGGGAAATACGGTGGGCTCCTAACAACTCTCAGCATCCTTTAACAAACTACTGTTCCCAGGATTCTTTGGAGGGGAGAGCCATGAAAGGACAGGGTACTGCTTTAAACGTATAGTACAGATGGGACCTTATTTTAAGTAAGCGTTGCTGGTTGGCCAGGATGGATATAAACTTATCCCTGCAAGCCAACAGCAGAAATGTGTTTTCCTTATGCCTTTAAAACTGCTTGTCATTTTATTCTATAGACAGGAAATTAGATGTGGAACATTCTCTCTCTCTCTCTCTTACACTTACACACACACACGAGAAACCAACAACAGCCCAATTTATAAAAGTCCCCAAGTTCCTAAACACATATTGTTAAATGTGAGCAGCTTGGCACCATATGGCAAATCAATTACTAGTTTCAATCCCGAAACACAGACACGCACACACCCAACCCGAACAAAAGCAGGTTGGGGGAGAGAGAGAGAGAGAGAGAGAGAGAGAATGGAGGTGTGGAGCGGAGGAGAGAAACAGCAAGCCGGAGAGAGGAACAATCTGGAAACAATGGAAGAGTTGAAATGAACAGCGGCCGCCAGAGTTTTGAATACAATTAATCATCATTCCGAGCCAACGGGAAGCCATATTGACGCGGGCCCTGCATTTGAATATTTAATTAGGGCGAAGTTCTTCATCAAATTATTGCAGATTGGGGGGGGGGGAGGCTGGTGTGCGTGAGGAGGGAGAACAGGCGCAACTCAAACCCCCAAATCCCTTTGATCGGAGCTGCCAAAAAGCTGCACTGAGCCTGTTCAAAACCGCAGGGCTAATTCCGATGCGGCTGCGAAGGCATTTAGCAAAAATAAAAAACAGAAGAGGAGTAATCATTGAAGCTGGCTTATTAGAAATGCATTGGGAGTGGTGGTGGAGGGGCTCTGATCTTATACGAAGAAGCGTAACACTCAAATGAAGACAGACACACAGATTGGGGGGGGAGAGAAAGAGAAACTTGATTTGGTACTGTGGGGGTCCTTTTCATTTTCAACCATTCCTGCTGCTGTTAGCATGATCACTTAACCAGGATTTTAATGGGCACAGTGTCATCACGTGGGTTGAAAGCTCACCACTGGCTGCCATCACAAAAATAAGATGGGCCCTTAAAAAAATAATATACACCCTGGCTTTTGACCCTTTAGGTGTATCTGTTTAGGACTCTTTATTTTTCTGTTCGTAAGTTGTTTTAAACTGCTTTCGATACTGTGCTTTAACTACTGTAAGCAGCCCTGGGACCTTGGAGTGAAGGGCAGGCAATCAATCAATCAATCAATCAATCAATCAATAAGCAAGTGCAAGCCCAACGTAAAAATTAAATAATTTATTATTTGTTGAATTTCTAACCCACCCACCCTCCCAAAGGACTCCCGGGGTGGCAAAACAGATGTATTGTTTGAATGAAACAAACAAACAAACAGCAGACATTCTAACACAGATTTAAAAATTCTAAAAACAATTCCAATTAAAAACATCTAAAATCAGTTACAGGGTTTTTTTTAAAAAAATAATAATAAATAATAATAATCTTAAAATAAGTTTAGAACATTCCTCCAGCCAATCACCCTAGGGCTGCCTGGAACAGTATTTCTTTATATAATAATAATAATAATAATAATAATAATAATAATAGTAATAATAATTAACAACACTGACTCTTAAAGCACTTAATCAGGAACAAGGAATCCTGTAGCCCCGCAGATGTTGCCTGACGACAACTCTCGTCATCCCTTAGCTATGCTGGCTGAGGAGTTGCTGGGAGTTGTAGTATTCTATCATATGGAGGACACCACTCTGGCTACTTGTACCCTCTCTCTCCCTACCCGCTCTCTCAGACCATCAAGTCAACTCCCCCTCTGACATCAGAGGTGGGCAGCCAGACCAGGGTCAAGCTGTTTTATCCTCCCACCTCCAAAATGCTTCCTAAGAGAGGTTCCCCTGGTACCAACAGTTTCATTTCTATACAAATATATTTTATTTATATCCCACCAAACTAGGCCCATGGGCTGGAAGTTCCTCCATAGATATTTTAAGGCCACCCTTAACCCGCCCCCTCCACTAACTGGATGCAACACTTGAATGGGCAATTGTGGAGCCTTTCAAAGACCAAATCCTTCTCTACCCAGTCCCTAAAATGCAAGTCAGTGTTCTTGCTCAGAAATTCTCCCCGTATGGGATACACAAGAGCAAGCTACGGTGGGAGACTGCGGATGAGGAAGAAAGAAGGGGGGAGGGGAGGGAGAATGTCTTTTAATGAGGAACAATACAGCCCCTAGTCTCTCTCTGGAGCCATAATTAGAGCAAATTAATTGAAGTTGTGTTTTGACACACTTGCTGAACGCACAGGCGATGCATGACATGCTTACAACTCCACTTGCGGCAAACGGCATGACGGAAGTGAGGATACAAAATCACTAGGTGCGCACAGGAGCCGATTTGCATGTGCGGTGCGCAGGCACTAAGCCATTCAATGGTGCTCCTGTGAAAAGTTGCCACTGAACGACATTAACAGTAATTACTAAGACTTCAGGAGAATCTGTAATGCTGAGAGGTGGGAGGTAGAGGAAGGCTCTCATTAATAGGAGCCAGTGCCAGTTACTATCATTTCTCCTGCACATGCTGGAAAGCCAGAATCTCCCAACTCCATCCCCACCAGCATTAAAATGGCACAAAAGAGATGGGTGTCAGGTAAGAGACAGAAACGTCATTACAGGACAAAAACACTCAGGAGAAGGCCGCCACCACCCTCCCACTTCCTCCCTGAAACAAAGAATAAAATCTACTCACAGGAAGCTGACATCCCAATCTATTCTGAAGCAGTCTCCACCCTTTCTAATGCCTCTCTTTAAAAAAATTACACTGGTTTTTCCATTGCTTTCTTCATTCATAGCAAGTTCCTGATCCTCATGTTTACCTACATTTTCGACCTGCCTGTTGTTCTCACTTTTAATGTCCTGTGCTCACTTGTTGCCTACTGTCATTTCTTGCTGGCATTAGGCAAACGACTCCTCATTTGACCAAGCTTTTTTAAACAGACCTTCCTAATCTCTTAGTCCCATGGACTGCCAGAAGATCAAACCTCTCCATTCTTAAGGAAATCAGCCCTGAGCGCTCACTGGAAGGACAGATCGTGAAGCTCAGGCTCCAATACTTTGGCCACCTCATGAGAAGAGAAGACTCCCTGGAAAAGACCCTGATGTTGGGAAAGATGGAGGGCACAAGGAGAAGGGGACAACAGAGGACGAGATGGTTGGACAGTGTTCTCAAAGCTACCAGCGTGAGTCTGACCAAACTGCGGGAAGCAGTGGAAGACAGAAGTGCCTGGCGTGCTCTGGTCCATGGGGTCACAAAGAGTCGGACACGACTAAACGACAACAAATATTACATTTGGCTGCTGTAATTTTATGCTTTCCTCTGCCCTGACATTTTAAAAAAAAACCCACAACAACCAGGTTTAATTCAGTTTCAAAATCATTTTACCAACACCTTAGTTGTGAGCAGCAACTTTTATTAGAAATTAATAAATCTAACAATGAATGCACATCATCTAAAGGTGGGATGGAGAACCTGTGATCATCCAAATGCTGGGATTATGACTGAACATCTCTAACACTCCAGGTTCAATCCCTGACAGCTTCAGGTGGGGCTGGGGCTGAAACCCTGGAGACCTGCAGCCAGTCAACACATTCATTCATTCATTCATTTATTATTCATTTATTATTTATTAAATTCGTATACCTTCCTTAATCCGAAGATCACAGGGCAGTTCACAACATAAAAACACAAAATGGCAATGCAAAATAATGGTCTCACTCAATATAAGGCAGTTTCCTTATATCCTTATATGAGGTGTGGTTGATTGCTTTTGAAGGCCCCCTTGGAAGGCAAATCACAGGCAAATGTCAAGTCAAGCTTTTAAAATACACTGTAAAGAAAAAGAGCCACTGGTGCCAGACCATCAGAGTTAGACGCTTATGCCTTCTTTTGCAAAACTGAAGCCAACATCAACGTATTTTAAGTTTCTCGTCCAGGCAGGGCTCTGCAGGGAGGGCCAACTGTTAAAAGCGTTTGTAAATGTTTAAAACTCTCATCGAAGCCCATTAAAATATAAGTTCCCCTGCTTCTCCCTCAGCTCCTTTAAGTGACTCTCAGAGCCAGACACCCCCCCCCCCAAAGTTCACCCTCGTCTGCAGACGAAACCCACTGAGTTGGAACCACTTCAGGTGCTTTGACATCCAAGCAAGATGCAAATCGTGTGGGTTCTGTTAAACAACATTCTGGAAACAGCCTCTGGGCTCTGTTCTCTCTCCACGGCTGGAGGCATAAAGCTTCCAAATACCACTTGATGGGAATTGCAAGAGGAAGAGTGCTACTGTGCTCAGATCCAACTTATGGGGATCCTACAAGTAGGATCCCACACTGTGCTCAGATCCTTTCTATTTGGGATATCCAGCTGGCCACGGTGAGAAAAGGATGCTGGACCAGATGGGCCACTGATGTGATCCAGAAGGTATTTCTGATGTTCTAGGGAGCCAACCCTGCTAACAGGTCTGGCTGCTTGCCCCTCTGCCCAGTATTCCGTTCTCTTGGCGGGCAGTGGCATTCCAAGGTAATGAGCAAAGAGAAAGCCCCCTTTCCCCATTGCCTGTTACATTACCCTTTTAACTGGAAATACCTTGGGTTTAATCTAAGACCTTTCGCCTGAAAGCAGAGACATGGGAAGATATCCTCGACCAGGCTTGAAACTCATCCCTCCAATTAAGCATTATCTACTCTGACTGATGCTTATGAGCCATACTTGCATTCCATGGATTCTGGGTTTGATAAGCATATTAAGAACTTGAGAGAATGACCATAGCTCAGTAGTAGAACACCTGCTTTGCTTGTAGAAGGTATTGAGCTCAATCCCTATTGTCTTCAGGGATGGCTGGGAAAAGCTCCTGCCCCAAACCCTGAAAAACCACTGCCAGTAAGTGTAGATAACACTGAGCCAGATGGAGCAATGCCTGGATTGATATAAGGTACCATTCTATATGGGACGTGGGTGGCACTGTGGGTTAAACCACAGAGCGTAGGACTTGCCGATCAGAAGGTCGGCAGTTCGAATCCCTGCGACGGGGTGAGCTCCCGTTGCTCGGTCCCTGCTCCTGCCAACCTAGCAGTTCAAAAGCACGTCAAAGTGCAGGTAGATAAATAGGTACCGCTCCGGCGGGAAGGTAAACGGCGTTTCCGTGTGCTGCTCTGGTTTTCCAGAGGAGGCTTAGTCATGCTGGCCACATGACCCGGAAGCTGTACGCTGGCTCCCTCGGCCAATAAAGCGAGATGAGCGCTGCAACCCCAGAGTTGGTCACGACTGGACCTAATAGTCAGGGGTCCCTGTACCATCCTATATTCATAATATTCGCAATCTTATGTGCCTCCCTACCCCAAGCCAAGTAACTGGCATTTGGAGGTAGACTGCCCATGAACCTGGAGGGTCCATTGACCATTGGTGCTGTTGTTATACACATTTATGGGAGAGCAATCCAACAAAGTTCCAGCAGGGTTCTTCTTATGTACTTGTGCCCCTGACCTCTGACTCACCACCCCAACACACTAGGTTAGGTGCCGCGTTGCACCCATTTTTCTGACATTATGTCTAGCAATCACATGAGCATGTTCCACCTACCCACAGGATCAAAAGCTATTTGGCACTCAAGGATCAGAGCTGGGAAGGGAGGAGAGGCGAAATTCAACATTAGCATGCAGAAGTTGAGACCAAAATCCCCAGTCTTGGGCAAGTGGGACGTGAAACGCAGCCGACACATCTTTTCGCAATTGGAGTGTGTTCCATTTCCCAAAGTGTCTGTCGCAAGCTGATAACTTTTTTGTTGTTGCTGCATGGATGTTAAGTACAATTATATCTGCCAGTGGGGGGGAGGAGGAACGCACAAACACAGAGAGAAAGGAATGACATCTTTGCTTGAAGCTGACAGATTGTTTGGAGACCGTTTCAAGGATAGCAAGAGAGGCACTGCAGGAATGAATCCCAAGCACGCCAAGGGTAAGCCTGGGTACAGATAGGCAAATCTGCCCATTTTTGGTTCTTTCAAGTTAATAATTTCCCCTCCTAGTTGTAAGTTCACTCCCACGAATCTCTGCACCAGTGTGTGATTTAATTCTGTTTAGAAAAAGCATGCACACAACACATTATCTTCCCCCTATGGGGAAAGGCGCAATGTTTTAGAATTCTTTAGTTTAGAGAAAACATAGAGCTGGTATGTTAGAAGTTTATAAAATGATGCATAGCATGGAGAAAGTTTTTCTCCTCTTATAAGCCTAGAACTCGTGGACATCCAAAGGCAGCTGAATGTTGGAATACAGAGAGCAGATAAAAGGAAGTACTTCTTTATGCAGTACATAGCTAAACTGAGGAACGTTCTCTTGCCGGAGGCAGTGGTGGCCACCAACTTAGATGGCTTTAAGAGAGGCTTAGACAAATGGGGAAAGCTAATGATGGCTGCTTGCCAAGATGGCTATGCTTTGCCTCCACACCTTCCAAGTATCGGTTGCTGAAAACCATCTAGCTGGGCACTGTGAAAACAGAATTCTGGATCAGATAGGTCACTGGCCTGATCCAGCAGGCTCTCTTTATGCTCTTAACGTACTTCCTTGCCCGGCATAGCTACGCTTTGGAATGTGCTCCCATAGAAGGAAGTGATGACTACCAACTTGGATAGCTTTAAAGGAGGCTCAGAAAATTTATTAGAGGAATAGGCTATCAACAGCTACTAGTCCAGGGGTTTTTGTGGCTTGTCCTGGTTCATGGTCCCACAGATGCCGCAGTGGGCCGGAGTGTGTGTGTGCGCACGCATGCGCAAACGCTATTTCCAGCGATCCTTCTGGCATGGAGGAGGTATGCGCAGCTTCCCACTGGCTGCAGGAGCTTCCTGCAGCCAATGGGAAGCCGGCCAGCATCGCGGAAGGCGGTCCCCACTCTGCTCCGCGCCGGTTTAGTGCGGTGCACGGGACTCGACTGAGCGGGTGGCGGAGGTCCCCAAGCGGTCAGTGGGGGTCCATGGGCCCCCCATGGGGGGCCACTTGCAGCGTATGGGCCTTAGGTTGCCGACCCCTGTACTAGTCACAATGTCAGAGGCAGTATGTCTCTGAATACTAGTTGCTAGGAACCCTTTATATTGCTTGTTGAAGTACTCTAAGTGGGGATATGGTGACTAGTGCTAGCATATATATATATATATATATATAATGCTTTTTATTCTATTACAGTTTAATTGTTTTTAGCTGTTCCCCCAATGAATTTAGCTGTTCTTATTTTATCCGTAAGCCGTCTTGAGTCCCTGTCATGGAAAAAGGTGGAGCATAAATAAATATATAGTAGCAATAATGACTATATTTTATGTAGTAATGCCCAGCTTTCAGGCTTCCCACAGGCATCAAGCCAGCCTGATCCAGCAGGCTTGTTTTATGTCCTTATGCTCACAGTTAACAGGTATCCCATAATACTTCTTCTGCATTTGTAAGAACTTGATTACAGTGGTACCTCTGGTTGCGAACGGGATCTGTTCCAGAGGCCCGTTTGCAACATGAAAAGAGCGCAACCCGCAGCGGCGTGTCTGCGCATGTGCGGTTTGCGATTCGCAGCTTCTGCGCATGGCGTCATTTTGCGCTTCTGCGCATGCGGCGAAACCCGGAAGTAACCCTTTCTGGTACTTCCGGGTCTCCACGGGACGTAACCTGAAAGAACGTAACATGAAGCGGATGTAACAAGTGGTATGAATGTATTTAGTCCGGCAACACCCACACTTGGGAACTCCTTGCCTACTGACATTCGGCAGGCACCTTCTCTGTACTCTTTTCACCACCTGCTAAAAGCATTCTTGTTTAGACAAACCTGCTAACATGTTTAGAAAGCTGATGCAAGTTTTAATCTATTTTTAGTCTATTGTTATTTTAACTTTTAGAACATTTTAAATTATTAATTCTTATTGACAATTGCATTGTTTTACGCTTTAGTAAACTACATCATCACCATCATCATCATCATCATCATTATTACTTTATACTGTCAAGTGGTGTATAAAACTGTATAAAAATCCCACTGGCATTGGAGAATTTGAGAAGAGCCTCACCTGGGAAGGTTAGCAGCTGGCGTTGTAGCTGGAGCTTGTGGAGAAGGTGTCGTGGGCTGAGACGATTCATGGTTCCTGGGGACTTTGCCCATGCGGTACCATATGCCCATGTTGTTCAGTTCCCTTTGCAGCAGACAAGAGAAGACAATCAGCCACACAGCTCAAGTCAATGGTCAAGGTAACAAATATGCTAGCACTTGGAGGGACGCAAACAGCATGGGGTCCCTTTGGTAGGGAATGCTGGACTCCTATCTGGAAAAACCTCAGTTCCAAAATTCCTGATTTAAAGGGTGAGGAGGAGATGGGACCCTTACCCAATGAACGTATACTGCGGAGGGGCTTGTTTGCCCCGGCCCAGGATCCGAATATCGCAAATTGCGGCCTCCGTAGAATCCCGCGGAATGAACTTGATGCAGAGCCTCTTCTTCCGGAAAGCAGTTTCTTCTGCAAAACGCCACAGCGTGAGAGTTCAGGGGTAGGTTCCCTCTTCTCTTACTCCAAACCTCTCTACAAAACCCAGACCTTCTTTAAGTGTAGCCCTCCTCTGAACACCCCCACGCCCCCCCCCACGCCTTGTAGTACTCCCTGATTTTTATACCAATAGTGGATATTGATGCTGTTTTAAGTATTTGCTTTTTGTGTAAATCATTTGACATATTATGTTTCTTCTACATGCATATTCATGTACATGGACTCAGGGGTTACCTGATAGGTAAAGATACCAACCTCATGTAGTAGCCCTGATGATGATTTATAGATCGCTCAATGTGTGAAAAACTCAAAATGGTTCAGAATACATAAAAATATCCAAATCATAAAATCAAGGAGGTGGAAGGTAACTCAAGGGTCATGTAGTCCAACCCCCTGTATTCTTGCATTGCAGGGGGTTGAACTAAATGACTCTTAGGGTCCCTTCCAACTTCGTAATTCTACGATTCATGTATTTTTACCTACTGTAACTTGCTTCAAGATCTTCAGATAGTAAATGGTCCATAAATCATCATCAGGTCTACTTTGTTATGTTGGCATCTTTAGACATCGGCCAACCCCTGAGCCCATGTACAATTCTTTTTTCTTCTTTTCTTTCTGCGGAGACAAACCTAGAACCTGGACCGCATCATCAAAGGGATCTGGTAGCCCACAGACCCCCCCTCCCCACTTGACTGCGGTGCACAGCCTCTAAATCCAAGCTGCACAAATTATAGTGCTGGAGCAAATCTGGGATGAAGCACAAAGCATGGATATAATTCCCACAGCAAGTGGTCACCACTATGAAGCACCTTCTCTAAGAGGGTATGCACAGGATCTGGTCACCGCAAAGACCAACAGTCTCAACTCACGTGTGTCCATGGTCTCTTGGATAGGAATGAAGCCGACAGGCAAAGTGTCCTTGATATCTATGAGCTTCATATCGACCAAGACATTGCCCAGGTGGCTCTGTTGGGAGACAGAAGGAAAGTGATGGCCAAGAGGCAATGAAACCCAAACAAAATGACAATTCTTAGAATTGAGCATGCAGTTATGCACCTGCCCCACATACACAGCGTGCGAATGGAGCAAGAACTTGTCACAAAGGACTAGAAACTTAATTCCTCCTTTATTATTACAGTACTATTATTAAAAGTGCCATTCCCAGGACGCTGAATTCGACAACTAGGTTTGCATCCAACTAAGTTGTGCTTATGTCATGATTTCCCCCCAAATAATTTTGGGAGCTTGTTAGTTTGTTAAGTATGCTGAGAGTTGTTAGGAGACCCCTTACAAAGCTACAATTCTCAGAACGGTTTAACAATTAACCTCTCTTTCCAGGCAACTCTGGAAATTGTAGCTCTGGGATGGGGATATAGTTGTCCTAACAGCTGTCAGAACCTTCTGACATTAAGAGCTGTTTGTGACAGTGGAGAGGACTCCCATGAGAGGTGGTGAACTCTCCTTCCTTGGATGTTTTTAAGAAGAGGCCACCTGTCTATTTGATCTAGAAATTCATTCACTATGATTCTATTCTTCACCTAGCCCAGCTCCACTCAACCTGCTGCCCAGTTGTGGAGGAAAATTTAGTTTTTTTTAAAAAATCAGTTTCAATCAATTATGTGTTGCTGTGCTTGTGGGGTGTGGAAAGCTACCCAAGTACTTTGGGATTCAGTGGGGGTTGCATTTAGGGACAGGGAAAGGGGCAAAAAGGCTGCCTTCAAAATTTAAATGGGGAACTAATCTGGCTGCATACACACCACGCATTTAAACCACATGACTTCCCCCTAAGAATGCTGGGAACTGTAATTTACTATCCACAGTGCTACAATTCCCAGCACCCTTAAACTACAACTCCCAAGAGTCAAATTTTTTTGGGGGGGTGATGTCATGTGATTTAAATTCGTTCTGTGTACACGGCCATTGTGACATTGAAAGAACCCTACTTTGATCAAACGAACTTTGGGGGAGAGTGAGAGGGTTATAGTTGATGCTAATCCTACTCATCGAGTAGACCCACCAAAGTTAATCGGAAACAACTACCTTAGATTCATTCATATCAATGGGTCTACTCAGAGAAGGACTGGTATTGGACACAACCCAGGGTGCTTAAACATATCCAGCAAACAGCTCTTATCTGGAGAGCAAAGACATATGTAATGAATCTGGCTAATTAGCTCTACATGTATTTCGTTGCAAGGTCCAAAAACAAGAAAAGTTCCTGGGGGGAAAGAAAGAAGAGCAGCATCTGCAAGCCAGCTGGAACAAGGAATAGTACATGGAATCCAAACTGACGTCTTCCCTGATTAATCAAGCACTGGAGAAAGAAAAACCTCACGAACACACCAACAGATCCTCTGATGTTCGGGCTGTCAGTGCCGTTCCTTAATGTATGCGAAAAGGTGCAATATACACAGAAAGTGGGAGGAGCCTGCAGGCTTGAGGGGGAAATCCTAATGTCTGTAAAAGTACAAAAAAATATTTGCGAGGAGGGGAACAAAGCAGGGAGCGGGAGGCAAGCCCAGCCCAGTTAAGACTGGGTGTGGTCAATGGCCATGGAATGCATGTGGAATGAGCAGGAGGAATGGGAAACTGGAGGAAGGGGGAATGGAATGCCGTTTCTGAACAGGAAGCACTTCACACTGCAACTGTCTGTTGCAGGTTCCACCCCGCTTTTTAGCCTTTTCAAGTAGCACAGGGGTTGCCCATTTGGTGCCCTCCAGATGTTAAAGTAAAGTAAAGGGACCCCTGACCATTAGGTCCAGTCGTGACCGACTCTGGGGTTGCGGCGCTCATCTCGCTTTATTGGCCGAGGGAGCCGACGTACAGCTTCTGGGTCATGTGGCCAGCATGACTAAGCCGCTTCTGGTGAACCAGAGCAGCGCACGGAAACACCGTTTACCTTCCCGCCAGAGCGGTACCTATTTATCTACTTGTACTTTGAGGTGCTTTCGAACTGCTAGGTTGGCAGGAGCAGGGACCAAGCAACGGGAGCTCACCCTGTCGCTGGGATTCGAACCGCCGACCTTCTGATCGGCAAGTCCTAGGCTCTGTGGTTTAACCCACAGCACCACCTGCGTCCCTCCTCCAGATGTTGCTAGACTGCAATTCCCGTAAGTTCCAGACAGCATGGCCAATTAGTCAGGTATGATGGGAGCTGTAGCTCAGGAACATCTGAAAGGCCGCATACTTGACTGCCCTTGAGCCAGCATTTCCCAAGCTGCCTATGTGGGTCAGTATTTAGGATCCTCCCATTCCAACAGTATCCCATGCAACGATGTCTGCATACCCCTTGCTGAAACTTGTTTTTGAAGGGGTTACTTGCAAAAGCCACATTTCCAAATTGTTTTTTATTTTTTTTAAAAAGAAACACTTAGACTACTTAATCACAAAACTCTCTTAAGCAGCAAAACGTGTGAGCTTTTATTCCATCATCAAGACATCTGAGATGAAAGCATGTGTGAATATTGGTGAGAAAATCAGTACTGATGCCAAACAGGACGCATCTTAACTCAAAATGTAGTGGGTGGTAGTAGTCTTAAAGTAGCAACAAATCACTTGAACAATATCCATAGATTATGTGACACTTTCTCCTTCAGTGGGATATCAAAACATTAATGCAGCATGTGAACAGTACATTTACCTGCTCACCTGTGGCGAGTTAAAAACCTTCAACAGGCAACCAGGAAAGAAAGCTTGATAGAACTTTGGTTTGTTTTGCTTCCTCCTACAACCTTTCTTGTTCCCTGACCAGCCCAAGAAACAAACACCCAAGATTGAGAAGCAAGCCACTCACATTCTCTTTAGAAAAGGTCCGTGTGAAGCACAAATATCGTGTGACCTTGGATTTAAACAGGCCATCTTTCCAGAGGTCAGCATCCAAGCCATCTGCCGTCTGTGCAACCTGGAAAAAATATCAATAGCCAAGAGTTGGTGAAGGAAGAGGAAAAAAGGACAGGTAAAGCACACTATAGCTAATACAGGGGCACAGCTCACCTTTTACACCTAATTAACGCTGGCCTGAGGCTTTTATTACCTCATTAAGTCTCTCTCCTCCAATGGAGAGAAGGATCAAAAGCAAAGGGTGTGTGTGGGGGTGTGTCAGTCCTAAAAATATTGTCACCAGCGAGTCAACTGATTAAAGAGAACCCCACGTAAAATATTAATCAAGGTAAAACTACCTTTGGCTACTACTTCTTGAGGTGGTTTGGAGGTTAAAGGGAGAAACACAAAAGCCTCTGTCCTTCCTCACAGGCCTGTGGTTCGAAAAATGAAGGGAAATTGGTCACATGGTGTGCAGGCAGAAATACTCCCTGCTAGGCAGTCAGTTGATCCACCCTTCAATTTAGACAACCATTTGAAGATTTGGTGCTGGGGCGCGGAGAGTTCATAAATATAACATGTTGACAAGATACGGTGCAAATCCAGCATGAAGAGTCTGGTCAGTGATAGGCTGGAGAAAGTCATGTGTTCTTCTCTGACCCCTATACAGTGGTACCTCGGGTTACATACGCTTCAGGTTACATATGCTTCAGATTACACACTCCGCTAACCTAGAAAGTGCTTCAGGTTAAGAACTTTGCTTCAGGATAAGAACAGAAATCGGGTTCCGGTGGCGAGGCAGCAGCAGGGGCCCCCATTAGCTAAAGTGGTGCTTCAGGTTAAGAACAGTTTCAGGTTAAGTACGGACCTCCGGAACGAATTAAGTACTTAACCTGAGGTACCACTGTATAAAGATTCCAGCACCAGCTTCTTCACAGGTTGGAGAAACTGAAGTGGCTTTGCTACTGTTGTCTGATAGGCATGGACTGCCCAGCTTGAGCTGTATCTGAAACACATGCTTAGTTGTCAGAAGCCTTCATTCAACAGTAGCAGCTATCGCTTAAGATGGTGACAGGGACTGTTGTCAACTGCAGCACCCCATTTGAGCCTCTCTCTCTGATGCTTGCCAGTTCGTCTTGCATGCTTTTATTTATTCATTCGGATGATTTCTCACTTAATACAATTCATATGCCCACCTTCCTTTTCAAAGAAACTCTTCTCCTTCTTTGCAATAGCAGGAAAGAAGGAAGAATTCGCAGCATAATCTCTATAAGCCACTGGCGCTGCAGCAAGAACCCCAGCCTAGAAGGGAAGCAAGGTAGCAATCCTCAAGGAGTTGCAGTGGAGCTCTCTAGCTAACCATCCCATGTCAGAATCAGCAGCTACTACAGGCAAATAGAGGCTTCTGACCATTTAGGCTTTCTGTGAGAACCAAAGAAGTGATTCTGTTGGTGCCACCCAGAATGCTTCGTGGCAGAGTAAGGATCAGAACTCAGGTTCCACCCACCCCTCATAAAAAGAACAACAGTCTATTCACTACAGACTCAATCCTCTTAAGGGAGAGGAGGTAGCCCCATCCACTAAATGCCATTCCTTCCTTAACAAATCGTATGGGCTGTGCAACACTCCATTTGCTCACTCACCTGTTCTTTCGTCAAGCCTACTGGCAACCATGAGAACTACAGTTTGCTTATAAAACTAAGCTATAGAGAAAGAGATGCATACTTTATTCAGAGCTCTCTCTCTCTTTTTTTGAGGATGAATTTCCTCCTGTTTGACAAAGTCTGTCTACTATACTAACCTTAAATCTAAGGAGACAGAACTAAGTATTTAAGAGCAAATACTTATTTCTTCCAGCCTAATCAACACTGCTTTTTGTTAGCAACACAGATGAGAACATTAAGGGACACAAGGAAACAGCCAGAAGTGGTATGGTGTGACTTATATAATCCCTACAAAGTAACGACATGTCTAGACAACTTTGCTATTTTTAGCTTCTAGGTTTGCATTTTGTTTTTTTAAAAAAATATTTTTAAAAACCCTCTTACAAAAGTAATGTTGTTATCAGCATGATCAATGTGAGGGCTTGGGCTGAAAGCCTAATCTAATTACTGGCATATGTTCTTAAGATCCTGTTTGCTCTACCTTCAGAGAGGGGCTTTTAAAGCCTCAGTCTCTCTCTTTGCACATGTGCATGTGCAAGTGCGCGCGCGAGCACACACACACACACACACACAAACTTAAATAAGCCTAAGTTGAAGGTTCCTGTTTTGATTGTTCCTTGTTTAATGCTGAGCGCCCAATTGATTATTTATTTCCCTTGCTTCCAAGGGAATGAACGTAGGTCACAGCATCAGCAACAGCTTTGCATGCAGAAGGTTCAAAGGTTTCAATCCCTGGCATCTCCAAGTAGAGCTGGGAACTTCGCCTGCCTGAAACCCTGGGGAGCTGCTGCCAATGAGAGTTGGAATGCAAGAGAAATCTGGTCCATGCCTTTTATTTCCATGTGAACTCACCTATTTCACACTTCCTGAAAGAAACTGCACTCCTGTGAATTTTGTTGTTGTTGGACTACAACTCCCATCATCCCCACCTAGCAGGACCAGTGGTAAGGTATGATGGGAACTGTAGTCCAAAATCAGCTGGAAACCCAAGTTTGGGAAACCCTGGTTTACAACATTTGAAGTTAAAAGAAGAAAATTCCCAAGCTGGTTGCAAGGAAGTAAAAGGAAGAAGAAGAAAAAAACCCAGTAAAAGAGAAAGTTCATTTACCTCCCCACAATTTCCTCCCCTAAAGCCACTTTGAAGGGAAAATATTTGCTGCAAGATGTACCCAAGAGAGGATGTCCACGAAACAATTACATTTCTGTGCAGATACAGCTTGTGATCAAACACCTCCTTGGATAAAAGGGGTGAAGTCCGTTCTGTAAAAGCAGAAGTAGCCAAATCCAAAACTAGAATAATCCAGCGTAAAGAAGGGGTCTGGGGCATTTGCCAATGTAGAACCACTCCAACAGAGATAAAGCATGCTGAGTGTTGGAAGATTTAGGAGGAAAGAATTTCTTCACACATTCCACAGCTAAACTATGGTATTTGCTTCCACAAGATGCAGTGCTGGCCACCAACCTGGGTGGTTTGAAAGGAGCTTCGCTGCCGCCCGCCAGCATTTTAAAATCGCCCCGGACAGCGGAGAAGTCCCCCGCTGTCCCGGGGTTTTTAAAAAACCTCTCCGCCCCCCCCCCGCCAGGCTTCGGAAGGCTGCTCCAAAGCCTGGCGGCGGGAGGAGATCTCTCCGCCCCCACGCCAGGCTTCGGAGCAGCCTTCCGAAGCCTGGCAGCGGGAGGAGGTCTCTCCGCCCGCCCCCCGCCAGGCTTCGGAGCATCCTTCCGAAGCCTGGCGGGGGGGCGGAGAGACCTCCTCCCGCTGCCAGGCTACGGAGGAGGTCCGAGGACAGTGGGGAAGACGCGCTGCGCTTCCCCCTGTCCCGGAGATTTCCCTATGGGCTTTCGTCTTGCGAAGGAAGCCCATAGGGAAATTCGTTTTGCGAAGCGCCTCCAAAACGGAAAACCCTTTCGTCTAGCGGGTTTTCCGTCTTGCGAGGCGTTCGTCTTGCGGGGCACCACTGTACCAGTTGCTGGTTCTCAATGTGCTTAGATGCATTTTGACTATTGTTTTAAAACCAGTTTGTTTTTATTACTTTTTATTTTATAATGTTTTAAAATGTTGGAAGCCACCTTGAATCTCAACTTGGGAGAAAAGTGGAATGTAATGAAACAACAACAACAACTATTATTATTATTATTATTATTATTATTATTATTATTATTATTCAGCCAAAATTGTGTCATCCACACAGAAAAAGGAAGCTGCAAGCAGGCTCAGGATAACCTGAAGGTGTTCAGAAAGTACTTTAAAAATATCTTTAGGGGGAAAATCCTGCCCCATTCCCACCTGAGCAATCTTCTGGGGGCCACATGCCGGTTGTACAGAGGGCCAGATACAAATATGGGCAAAAACAATGAATGCAGATTTTACCTTTGTACAGCAGCCTAGATTTTACACACACACACACACACACACACACACACCCCTCTATCTAAAACCCAGAGATGAAAGGGGCATAATCAAAGTTTAAAGGACACATTCCAAAGGAAGATATGGAGTCAGCTGGTGCCAGTGAGAGGTGTGGCCTTGAGACAGGGGTGTTGCTGAGGATGACATATAGGCTGGGAGAATCCCTAGGGCCAGGTAGAGAGGTCTGGAAGGTCACATTTGGCCCCAAGGGCTGAGGTTTCAGCCTCAGGACACGTGTCAGAGAAATTAAACTCAGAAGGTTTGCACCAAGAGAAATAATTGTGTCCTTAAACTCCCGGTTCCTTCCTTCCTCTTTAAATGGAGTATTACTTAATTACTTGAAGGGAATTGAGCAGGATAGCTTGCAATAAGACACTTAAAGGAACCTCATCACAAGGCAAACGGAAGCCTAAGAAGGTGAGAGAAGGAGCAATTAAGAAATGAGTAACAGCAGCCAAGTCTAAGTAGCTCTTTATCACCCCACAGACTGAGGCCACATTCACAAGGCCCTTCTATGTGCCGTACTACAAACAGCTACCAATACAGCCACTGTCACACATTTAAAGCACTATTATACCGCATTAAACATGCATGGCTCCCCCAAAGCATCCTGGGAGCTGCAGTTTATTAAAGGTAATGAGAGCTGCAAGGGGATCCCTATTCCCCCTGTTATAAGAATTCAAAGGTTTCAAATATAGAATCAGTGTTCATAAATGTGCAAGGTAAACACACATACATAAGCTATTTAAACCCCAGCTGCACCAGCCCTTGTCAAAACCATCTCACTTCCCTCACCACAGATACACACAGGTTAAGTTACAATCTGTATGCTGAAAATTGTACAACAGACACAGATTTCCTCCTCTGCCACCACTGCACAAAACGTTTGTTAGCCCCTCCAAGTCCAACAGATAAATTAAAAGCTTCAAGGGAGCCGCCCTTCTTGCTAACAATTTGAGATAATTAACAGAAGCCACAAGTCATTTCATTTCCTGCTATAGCTTGAGA